GTCTGGATAACAGCAGACTGACTGCTCGTGAAATATACGACAGGTCTGGACCACACGTGAATTTTGTTCGTATCTGGAAAAAAATCTTAGAATACGAAAACATTGGTGAATGCCACAAATTCTCCTAAATCACTCGTATGCACAACTTAAGAACAAATCTGTGCGTACGAACGTTTCTTGCATGAGGCCCATTGTTGCCTTTAGAAAAATGTTTCTTTGGAGGAGCTTGGGTTGAACCCTAATATTACTATTACTTTAATACTTAAAGTAGTTTTAAAACAAGTACTTTTACTTGAGTAAAACGCTTGAGTTGATATTTCTACTTCAAAAAATTCATTTTAAACTCTAGTATCTATACTTATATTTAAGTAATGAATGTGAGAACTTCTGATACCTCGGTTATGACAGTGACAGGGCCATGGTATGATTCTTTGGGACTACCATGGCACAGTAGTGTGAGTGTAATGCTTGTTAACTGTGGCCTTAGATCTTGTGCAGCTGTTATTAGGCACTGTATCTGTACATTTATGTGTAGGGTTATGAATCAGCAGAACTGTATTATACAAGCTTTGGTCTGCCCTAGAATCAGCTCTGTTAGGTACACATCTAAAATGTTATTTGCTTTTTTCTTTTAAATATGGACCAGAGTTCTGTGTCTTTAATATAGCTTGAACTGAACAACCAAGCACAAGTGTGATAGCTGTAGTTGTATCCTGACATGGGCGGGCCTGGTGTAATTGTACATTGTGGTACGGTTGAGGGTTGGGGTTTAAAACAAGGAGGAACACAGGAGAAACCTATTTGGTGAGTTATATAAGATTATCAGCATCATGACAGGTTTCATACTGAAGGTTTATAAATCTGTAATGTTCTAATGTGGAGGATAGAAGGGTCAACATTCAGTGTGAAGAGAAAAGCAGGGCTGCTCTTTTAATTAAAATAAAAGATGGACACCTGAGAATAAACATAGAGCTTTGTTAAAATGGTCTGACTGATACAAGTGGCCAAACCAAAGATGAATTAAAAACCCCAAATCTAATTAAAAACACACAGACATATTAAAAATCAAAGGGTGGTCAGAATCAGAAAGATCTGCTGAATATTTCCATGAAAGAAGAATTAAAGATGCCACTGGAGCAGAAGGTAAGCAGTGGGAAGAGCTGGTGTCCACGGGAGGGGAGGGGTGTTTGCAAAGAAACGAGCAGAGCGAGGAAAAACAGGCAGGATCAGCTGGAGCTGAGGGGTCAGGTGAGTGTGTGAGGGGAGGAGCCAGACAGTGAGAGGTTATACCTGCCAGGAAACAACTTCCGTGTAGCTGCTTAGAGTGTCCTCAGAGAACTTAGCAAGCTAGGGCAAGAGAAGAGTCTAGTTAAAACACAGAGGGAGGCCTTCTGTGCGCCTCCTCCGTGTGTGTGTGTGTGTGTGTGTGTGTGTGTGTGTGTGTGTGTGTGTGTGTGTGTGTGT